CTCGGGTATTCTACAGAAACGACGTATAAGGGCGCAGACATGCCACACCACACCTACCTCAGCTAATCCTGTGTATTTTGTTCAATGTAACGGCGTTTACTCGTGGAAAATATCGTAAATTAAGTCATTTTCGATATATATTGGGTAATTGAGCAAATATACTATGCAAATGATAGTAAGGGTGCTTTTTTTACTAATCGTACATGCCCATTTGATTATTCAAAATAATTAAAGAGACATGCGGTTTAAGCCTGCGATACTAATAACCCTAATTTACTTATTAAACGTATTTAGTATGTAATGTAATGCTATGTAATGTTTCACTCAAGGTCAATTTTTATAATTTTCTATGCTTTTTTATGACTACCAGTGAAGAAATTATCTCATTGTAATCGAACCACAGTACTAAACAGATCCCGGTGTGTCATTCAATGCCCACTTGACGGTATAAAAATGGAATTTGTGCTTGTGGTTACGTGACGTCTCCATCACGCCGTGCTGTTCATTCACGACCAATGACTAAGCATTAAGATAGGGGCTATCTGCCATACGGCTACAGTAACGTCCACTCTCATGGACCCGTGTTTAAATTGAATAGTACGCCAGAACAAAAAAGCCAATCTGCGTATGAGCTGCCTGTGTTCTTTAAAGGTTAGGTGAACGGACCAAAGAAAGTACATGAATTTCACAAGCTCAAGTTAAAGGTCGTTGTCGGTCTGTAATCCTTTATTCAAGTTAAAGATCGCTGTCAGTCTGTAACCCTTTATTCAGTTTGTACTGCAGTTCTGTTTGTTGTAAGCACCATTTCTTTTGTTCTTCGACTCTTGTGCCCTCAATGAGCTTAAAATCTACAATACAACTAGTTGACAGCTGTAAAAACGTCATTTGCATTCGATTTATTTGCAAAGTCAGTAGCCTAAATGAGTGTGGCGACCAGCAAGCCATCACAGTTAGCATTCGTTAGCGAACACAGTTTGCAAGCGCCAGCGAACACAAATCAATCGATTTTTTCCCGTAAAAGTGCTTTTGTGGATAGACAGCCACCGCGCGTGTGTGTTGCGTGTATGCTTACCCAACTGCATCAATGGCTCATCCTCTATATTATAGGTTTTTGTTAGCAGTCAACTGTAACGCACGCGTATCGATACGCCCACAGAAGTTAGTTACTCGATTTTACTCGAGTGGACTTGACTGGCGTGACGCGGATAAACCGTCATGTTCTCTTTCAACTCTTTGTCTTTTTTCTTTTCGGGTTGTGACCAGCTGTTATCTACAGGATTTTGCGGTAGCGATAATTTAGGTCTCTGCTTCTTGGTGACCCCGACATGGACCATCAAGAAAGCAAACCTTCAATTACCCTAGAAGGGATCAGCCTAAACCAGCCTCCATTCTGGCCGAATTCCGCTCCATGTTGGTTCGCCATTTCGGAAACGCAATTTCTTGGTGCTAATATTGCCAGCCAACATGCGAAATATTTTCACATCGTCTCTGCTTTGAGTAGCGAACTGGCCAACGAAGTTTCAGACGTACTGCTTCACCCCAACAACGACATTCCCTACGATCAATTAAAGGCAGCGATCCTGAAGCGTACGCAACTGACCACATCGGAACGCATTAATCAGCTTTTATCCCGCGATGACCTGGGAGACTTGAAGCCTAACCAGATCCTAAGAAAGATGCGTCCACTGTCCAACGACGAACCTTTGCAATGTGAATTTCGGAAAGGATTTTTTCTCAAACGAATTCCCAGCAATATCAACCCATCCTTGCCCCTATGGTTGAACCGTCAACACTAGAACGGTTGGCGGATACAGCAGACCTCGTGTTAGAAGTAACGAAATCGGCTCGCATTTCCGATCTCGGCCCAAGTCTCCAAAGACAATCGAATGCATTTTTGCTCACTGACGCCTGCCAAGCACCTGTTTCTTTGGACAGCCGCCTAGCCAGGATCAAAGCCGCAATCGACGCCTTGACAATCAAAGGTTCATGAGGAAGAAGATGCAACACCTCATTTAGACGGAACCACTCAAATTCTCACCGAAGATCCTATTCACGCTCGTCGCCCCGACGTTTGTGTTGGTATCATGCAATCTTTGGCCGCGCAACCCGACAGTGTAGACCCCCGTATAGGTACGGTGTTTTAGACTCTCTCGCGTGGTCGGTGAAACGAGAATGCCCGGTAGTAGTGGCGTCGACTGCTAATGGGCATTTAAACCGCAGCCTTTTCCTACCCGACAAATCAATAGGTATGCTATTCTTAATCGACTCAGGAGCCGACATATGCGTTGTCCCTCCAACGCGCTCTAAAAAGGCGGTCCCCAATCCCCTTCTCTGTTTTCTCAGCCGCCTATGGTTCCCCCATCCCCACTTACGGGCAGAGATCTCTCACGCTTCACTTAGAACTACGACGCCTGTCGAACCATCTGATATCCCTAAGACGGCTATTGCTACACCATTCGGTTTGTTCGAGTTCGTGCGAATGCCTTTCGGTTTACGAAATGCAGCTCAAACATTTCAGGGTTTCATCCACCAAGTATTATCTGGCTTAGATTTTGTCTTTTCGGGTTGCCAGTGAAAATCAAGAGGGGCACTTGAAATACCTTGACATTGTCTTTCGACGCCTTAACGAATATGATTGATTACTAATCCGTCAACGTATGTTTTCGGGGTTACAGAACTCGAATTCCTGGGACACACCGTCTCCGCTGCAGGTTTAAGGCCTACCACTATTAAGATAAAGGAGATTCAAGAATACACGGAAACAAAGTCCATCAAGCAACTTCGACGTATCTTGGGCATGGTCAATTTCTACCACCGATTCCTTCCCAATGCAACTCAGACCCTTCTGCCTTTAACCAATTTGCTCAAAGATCGCCCTAAAAATCTAACCATGACCGACGAGGCACGTGAAGCTTTTATAGCCGCAAAGGAGGCTTTGGCAACGACAACCACATTCGTGTTTCAACGATTAGATGCCCCCTATCTCTACTAACCGATGCATCCCTTTCAGCAGCTGGAGCAGTATTACAGCAAACCGTCGACGGGTCAGCTCAGCCACTGGCTTATTTTTCAACTAAGTCCAACGAAGCTCAAAAACGTTACAGCACCTTAGGCCGTGAGCTTCTGGCAATCTACCTGGTGGTCAAACACTTCAGGTATCTTCTCGAGGGTCGGCAATTCATTTTCTACACCGACCATAAACCGCTGACCTTTGCAAGCTGCTAGAGTTCAGATCGTTTGTCACCGAGGGAATTTTGGCACTGGGATTATGTTTTACAGTTTTCAACAGACATTCGTCGCATCCAGGGTAACGACAATGCGGTAGCCGATGGACTATCTCGTTTGCACATCGATGCTGTAAATACAGGTACACATGTTGATTTCGAGGATATGGCGAGCGCTAAGCAGTCTGACGAAGAATTGTAAGAGTTCCGAAAACGAAATACAACCACAAATTTGGTCGAAGTCCCTCTACTTTCATCCACACTTACATTCGTCTGCCACATTTCAACAGGTGTGCAAAGTCCTTTTGTACTCAAGCCAATGCGACGCCAATTGTTCCGAGCCCTTCGTAGTCTTCCTCATCCTGGTCAGCGTGCAACTCGGAAGCTGATCTCAAGTCGTTATGTTTGGCCTACCATGAATCGCGATGTTTTGCAGTGGACTAGAAATTGTGTAAGCTGTCAAATATCGAAGGTAGACAAACGCAGCAAGACCCCTCTTAGGCACTTTAACGTTCCAGATCCTAGGTTTGATCATGTACACGTTAACATTGCTGGAACCTTGCGGCACTAGGGACGTTTCCGTTACATTTTGCCTTGCGTTGACCGTTTTACCCGCTGGCAAGACGCTTTTCCGATGCAAGGCATCTCCGCTGAAACCCTAGCTAGAACATTTGTTGACAGATGGGTCGCCTTATTTGGAGTCCCTTCCACCATCACCACAGATCGAGGAAGTCAGTTCGAATCAATACTCTACATTGATTTTTATACACATTCTGACTTACTAAGCAACTGCACACAAGAAGTTATAAACACATTGTGCGTTTAGAATACCTGAGCCATAGTACGAAAAAGACTTTCGATAGACCAAAAAAAAGACAGAACAGTACGTCAGGTGGTGTCCATCAGAGTCCCCCATAATGGTTGCGTCACTAATTATATACTGTTCTCCCTCCGTTCTTTTCTCTGGTTGGCTGCAGATCTTCCTCACAGGCCATTTAAACGACCCGAGACAGAGGATCGCGTGAGTTCGGCGTAGCACAATGTCTATGTCCTTGTTCGTCACCACAATATGCCAACGGCCACACGCCGCAACTTAACACATTTGCAATGGTCGTATACTGCTGGTGAACCATACGTTGAAGCACTGATGAGATGTACTAACAGTCTACACTTATTAAGACCCCTGTCAACAAAATACGACTCAGTGACAATTTTACTTGTTAATTTTAATTACTAGAATGTTACACTAGCAAGCATTTATTCTGAGACCGAATGAAGGTAGAACAGGTAGCTTCCCTGTGTAATTTAACGAACAAATAACTTAGTACTAAACCTGCGTCTTTGAATTTTACACTGCACGGCCAACAAATTGTTAGGTGATGACGGTACTTGGTTGGAAGCCCTATCTTGCAGAAATGAGCAACTCCCCCATTGAGGCATCTAGCTCGTTTGCCCCCAAAATGACCTAAATATAGTGGCGTTATGGTCTGTATTGGCTTGAAGCACTTTGATTGAACATAAACAAGGAATATGGTCATTAGCAAATGCCGGCAATGTTTTGTTGCTGAGTTGTTGAAGTAATTGACGGATGAATTGGCAGGTAATGGAGACTGAATTTCACCAAGCACAATGATGCAACAACGCATGTCTCCCGACTATCTCCTGCACTTTAAGCTCGACGCGAACGGCCGAATGTGTTAATTAATTTTCCTGAATTTTCGGATGCGGCAAAAAAATGCAATTCCAAATTATTCCAAAGGATTCGTTTACAGCAAGGATTGGATTCTCATAAAACCCACTTAGACAAAAACCTTGTCTGCTTATTGAGGAACTACTTCATTAATACCTCTGCAGGATTTAAGCCTTGGTTTAACATATTTCTGAGGTAAACAAGTTCTCACAGACAGGAATGAATCAGGCCCCAACCCCATGGTAAATAGACAACCCAAGAAAAAAACAATGTAACTAAAAAATACATGCGCTTTTTACAAATTCAGAACTGCCACATACGGACGCAAAAATACAACAAACACAGATAGGAGCGAGTTAAAACCTTTTTACATAGGGTCTGACTTTTTGCGGTGCGCATAGAAAATCATCACAAAAAGTAGTCTGGGACTGGTTTACGGGAGGGAAAATTACGATTATTCTGAAACGAGAAAAAAGAAGCTACATTAAGCATTAATACATTCAAATCGATCGCTACTCCTCTTCTGCAAGATAACACATTATACTTCATCGCACACAAAAAAATACGAGCGACTAATGGTCAAGGGGCAACGGCTTCCAAGCGGCTAGCAACTTCACAAGTAAAGTAAACGTTCCGTTACTTTATCCCTTTTACCATCAAAAAGGATA